TCAAAGCCGCTCTCGTATGCATCTCTAACACGATGCCACTACATAAAAAGGAGTTGGTGCCGGTTTTATCCTGCCCTCCCAGCTTGTCAGGCCCGGAACCCAGGCAGTACGCGTTGATGGACTGCAGAAGCTGGTTGGTACCCATGGCCATGCACCTTATGAGGGCGGTGCCTCCACGGGTGGTGGGGGCTAAAAAAAAGCTGATGCTTATAAAGCTGCTTTAACCCCCATCCCCTCCGCGGACTCTTGAGCTGTCAGCACTGCCTGCTGCATGCTTTACTCGCTCACCCCCTCGTCAGAACTTGAAGAACTTGGGATGCCAACACGCGGCTGTAGGCGTCATAGGCCTGCCAAACTCAGTGGACAGAATCAGATTGATTGCTACTTCTGTGCTAGATCAGCTACTCTAAGTGCTTCTTGTATGGTTTATGAGAGTTTATGACTACTTGGGCATTTGCTCTTGATTTATGCTTCAGGATTGCCATAGATTACCATAAGCAACTCATAAGCAGCTCTGTCTCCACTCTTGGAGTTTCCTTGGTAAACGTAGACCGTGAGCAAGGAGCTCAAATCTGTAAACAGCGTCCGGCCTGCCAATTTGCTTGCAGTTCTCTGTACAGCTGAATGTGCCTGTCGTGAATATCAGAGTATGTACCGGATGTGATGAGACCACACACCACATGCCCCCCATGCCCTGCCATCCATCGAAGCTGTGTCTTAGCCAGCGGCTTAAGCGAGGCTGTCTCTTCTAACGATGGCATCGCTGCCTGTCAGGGTTTGCACAATGCCAGATCTCGCAGTAAGGGCGTGTTACATCTTGCAGTCACCGGCCTCAACCTCTCAGCTACAGAGTCCATGGACCCTACTTTTGCCTATTCTGAAACATGTGCGGAGCCTCTGGGAGGAACGAGTCTTCCAGGCCCGTTGTATCCTCTGCCTCCGTTTGGTGCCTTGGCTCCCGCAAACAAAGATGGCCGGGGTCCGTGCCAGTTCCTCAAAACGAAAGACTTCACAGGCCTTGACAGGCGGCTCCGAGGACCCGGCGACAGGTTGCCCATGGTAGCACTAAGCTTCCTGGCCCAGCGGCAGGAAAAAGACGAGATGATGTTGAGGATCAAGTTGACACATGTTGACACATTTGGACGTTCCAGTCCACGGCAAGACATCCCTACCGCATCAATTTCCCACGACACATCGGACAGAGCCTGAGCTGTTGCTGCAGAACAGGGATACGCAGCATGTCGCTGACACTGAGGGCTTCGTAATCCTGACCAAGAGCAAGGAAAGCTAGGCTTTTGCAATCCAATCTATATACGGCTGATGTTCGCCCACGTACGTCATCACCTATCACGTGCCTTCACTTAATTTTTGTAAGCTGCCCGTAGCTGCACGCGAACAAAAATCTCTGCGGGTCGCGCAAGAAAAATGGCAGCACGGTGCAACGCGCCTTTGCTTTTGCTGCGGCGCTATGTATCTGCTGCGTGTTCGGAACGGGTAGCCGAACCTCATTCAGCAACAGAGCCATGCCAGTTTACCGAATGATTGCATCTACAGCAGACTCAAGAAAGGTTGGAAACCGGCTCATCTTTACCTGCAGCAGGCCTTTCTGAGTGCGGTGCAAACTGCGTCAGCAGTCTGACCTGAGGTCTAAGATATGCTTATAACTTCGGAGAAATGTGCTGGTGTTTTTCTCTGTGCCATAGCCTCGCGTGGAAAGCCGCTTCAAAATTGGCGGCTGATTGCTTCTGTGTAAATTTCATTCTTTTGCTTGTTGCTGCATGTGTACGGGTTGAAGGGGTTGCGCAACACTTGAGAGCCACGGGCTGAGACGAAAGCTCAAAAATGGACAGGAGTGGCGAGAAAGGACGTGAAGAGACAGACCATCTACAACCAGAAAAGCACGCAGCCCAGCCCTCACTGCCGATTAACGGAACAGAACTCTCCTACAGAAATCCCTCCTTTAAAAAACCTCCAAGATCCCCCCAAGACCCCCCAAGATCCCCGATCCCCCCAAGAACCCCCAAGATGCCCCCAGATCCCCCCAAAATCCCCCCACCCAAGATCTCCCCAAGATCAACCCCAGACCTCCCGAGATCCCCCAAAGAGCCCCTGCAAATTCCCCGCAAGATGCCCCCAAGATCACCCCAAGATAACCCCCGAAAACGCCTCCCGTGCCACCACCCGAAATCCGCCCTGTGGTGCAGGGAAGCTGCACAAACCAGCAAAACTCCCCCCCCCCCGCCCTGGCCCCCTCCCCCATGATCCCAGGCTCACAGGTACTGAACGAAGCTCCCACACAATGAGCTTTCGTGATTTGTTCCCATACGTACTTATTAGAGTAGTGTTGGGGCCTGATAGCATTGATATCATCCAAGGGTACACGGCGGAATGGCATTGGAGTCATAAGAGATTCTTCTGGCAGAGAGCTGGATGTTCAATATCCCATTCAATCCCTGAATTCTCCACTCTGGATTTCCTTGTAGAGGTTACGATGTCCATCGCAATGTCCCATCTTTTTTTTGGGCTGTTTGAAATTACGCCCCTTATTTGCAAATTGTGTGATTACCAGATTGACATTGCCTGTTGCACGGGCACGCTCGAAGCACTGGTTAGCTGGTTAGCTCTCCCAATGGATCTATGTCACTATGCGGGACTTGGCCCAAATTACTGTTCGCGAACTGATATAGGCAAGTATAGGATACTATAGGGACCCATACGATCATGAATTTGGGGAAATCCCCATGCTGCAGACCATCTTATTCGACTGTCCTGGGTTCAATTCAACGCACTTTGCAAGCCCTGGCAGATGGTCAATGCTTGTTCGAGCAGTCTACGTCCGCATACTTACTTGTGGAACCCATGGTTACAGTGGAGTACTGGACCTACCTGCCTACCTACACACCTAAGCTGACCCTAGACTCTAGCCTAGATTGCTAGATACAGCGTCGTCACGCAAAGCAGCTGTGCTGCTCACCATCGGGTTTTCCAAGAATACGATGAACGAACCACAACCCTAACCCCAATCAGTTAAAGCCGAACTCCTGCTCTTCCATCATGTCACCGGCTGACATTCAAGTGACAATTGTGAGGCCCTAGTCTGCAGACAATTCAGACTGTTGATTGGTAACTAATGGTCGCGGAGGGTCATCATGATGATATCCAAACAGGAGGAATGACAAATCAAGGCATCTACCAACAAACGGATAGGTAGATCTTGGAGGGCATTGGACACCCTGAGACGAAACTGCTCTGCATCCTGAGCGGGCCCTGGATCGGTGCGAGGGCTTGGCACGGAAGAACGACATCTTAGAATCTGGGGGGAAGCGTTTAAAAAAAAGAAATTATGACAAAAATAATGCGTGAAACCCCGTCGGCAAGCGCTATGCAAAAGAATGCTGTTTTGGTGTGGAGTCATCCCACTGTGAAATCTGAAATGCAGTTGTTTGCAGCACAATCCTCCTTTAACAGCACCCTCCCACGCATGCGCCTTCCAAAAGCCTTCCAAAAGTAAGGGCCTCGCAGGCCTAAAGGCATGGGAGGAAGGGCCTGGCCTGGCGTGTAGCACCCCATCCTCCTAACCCACAGCCTCCCCACATAATAGCAAGAATATTAATAAAAATAGTAATAGTGGTAATAGTAATAATGGTAATAATAATCAATAGTAGTAATAATACCTACGCACTCAATCCATCGTTCCATTACCACACCCCCACAACTCAACGACTCTCCACAAGTCTACGCGGGAAGTGCGTGGATATGGCACGTAAGTTTGGTACTGACAGGGCGGCTATGGCATAAGCTAAGCTTGCCCCTCAAACTCAAAAAAGTCACAGTCCCTCTTGGCATCAACAGCTACGACAGCAATGATGATGAGTAATCCTGCAAATTCCTGAAGGGAATAGCATCAGCTGCAAAAGGTGACGATTGCTATTCCCAAAAGCTCCGTGACATTGCCTGTACTTCGGTACTGCCCCACCCGGTAATAGTGTCTTAGTCTATGATAGACCTACTATTAAATGAGACGAAGGTCTGCGTATACTTCTAAGTAGTCTGAATATGATCCAACTGCTACCGTACAGCTGGCGGAGGCGAACAGCAAGATCAAGACATGGCACTGAATGGCACAGCCAAGGCACACCGAAGGAGTGTGCCGCGATAGAGGCATGCATGCCCAGCCAGATGCCTGGGCTTGAAGTTTCATGGATAGTTGTCAGTCCAGTTCCAAGCGTCAGTCCAGTTCCAAGCGCCTGTTTCGCTTGAAATGGGTCATCAACGCAGTTGTCCCGCCTATGAGCCCGCTTCCAAGTACGTATGACGCTCCAAGTCATGCTGATGCTGGTCCCGGTTGCTGGAATCCGTTCCGATCGAAATTGGAGCTGCAGATGGGCCATGAATTGGGACGAAGTCGGACAGCTTTTGCCGGTAAAGACGCATAGAGCACTAAGCTTTGCCGAACGTTTTGGTGCCATGGCGGCATCAATGTTTGGGCTAACAAACAGACTGCCGAAGATTTCGGAGACTGTGGCTGATGCACAGGACAACTGCAGACCCGCATTTTGGTCGGTATTTTCAAGCAGCTGCATCGTGCTTGAGGCAAGGTCTTCAGAGGGCTTGTGGAATGATGTCATGGTCGAACAACGTTCTGGCACGGCTGGATACATTGCTTTGGATCCCGTGCCTTGGAGGTAGCCTGGTGCCCCGGTATGGAATCGCGGCTTTACTTTCCAACTCTTCTGGGCACCCTTTCTTCAAGGGGTGTCAGTCTCAGAGGTCGGCTTTGAAATGGGCTGAGCATAGGACGACAAAGCCCGCTCAAAAACCCAAAGCCGGTCCATGGATGTCGCAATTTGTGAGCACTTGCTCCAACATGAGCTACAGTCAATACTTCATGTATACCGAGTGGGCATGGGACCATACTACCAGCAGATTATGAGGGGGCCCTTGTGTCCACCCTTAATAGTCCCTTGGTAGCTCGCGTGTTGGAAGTAGCTCACATGCTTCTACTGGTTTTCCATGCTATGCACTGTTGGTAGGAGTGGTTGTTGGGCTATGATGCATTCCCAGCGGCTCAGCACAAAGTAGAGCACGCCGGAGGCACTACTTGCCGCCAAAATCCTTGGCTAATTCTGACACGGACTGCAGCTGGATTTGTGCCGGGTCTCCGTACTTTGATCTTTGCTTCAGATGACCTGACCAACGAATTGCCCGCAGCCTCTCAGATTCTGGCCAGTGAAGCCACAAAGGAGTCTTCCCCGGCTTGGGCATTCCTTCTGTGAAAAGCATCACACAGAACCTCAGCGAACACAGCTAACTTATTGGCATGTTTGCCTCTGATAGTTGCCACAAAACCGGCAGTACAAGATTTGGGCTTGCCAGCCGACATTGTGCAAGCTCCGCACAGTAATTGCAGGACGTTGATCACCATGTAAACCTCAAAACTTTCGCGGGATGTCGCAGCACGGCAAGATGAGATAGAGTGAACGAACAAAATGCTGCGGATTTAACATAATAGGCTCACGGATATGGGACCCCTCACAGGTCATACAAGCATCGGCAAGTTCACCTTGGAAGGCTGAGTCGAGCACGTCCATCTTGGACACAGTGAGATCCGTCATGTCACGAATGTCCTACTGAACCGTTCTCCAACAATATCCACTTTACGGCCGTGATCAGTCAAATGTTCCTTGTCTTTGAGCTACTCATCAAACTAGCCCAGTCCTCCCGGTAAAGCTCGTACTTTGAGACCTTCATCTCTTGGCTGAAGTAGGCGCGCTCTCGATACTGCTCCTGGCGCAGCAACACTAAGCAATCAGGCAGCAACTTCATGCAACCCTAACCATCCCTGTCCTTGTCGAACATGAAGTTCTTCCGATTGTAGTTGAGCAGTCCAGCTGGCGAAAAAAGCTGTCTGTGCAGTGGTGACTCTCTGTGACTGCAGGACCTGTTTAACCCGTGCGCCCTCTGGGCATTCCTCGCTGTCTCAACTAGCTACATCGGCTCCCATGTCGGAGCCCGCCACCAAGCCTCCAACTCCAGCTGCGATGAGCTCCATGGCGATCTGGCACAAGCGAACGCAGAAGAATCCCTTTCTCTTAAGCTTGTCAACTCACTTTTGATGACACAAGAACACTGATGCGAGCCTGCGCGCGCCGCGCCAAATGCTTGGCCGCACTCTGCAAGCGGGCCGTGCCAGAGCAGCACGTCTGAAAGATCGCTGGGTGCTCTTTGTATGAAGTACTGCTGAATCTGTGCAGCGGCCTGAGCTCGCGCAAAAGATGCGCATGCTTGCTGCTGAACTTCGCAGGCTTGCAATCTTCAAGCCAGAACAGGCTGGACCACGCCAAGAGAGCCGCAGCGATGCACATGACATGACCGCCGCTAGATGCTTCAGCAATGCTGCATGCTCTAATCCCGGCAAGCAGCCTGTCTTGCCAGCCTCTGTTAAATTAAAGGAAGCAAAAATACGTCAAAGCTTGGAAAATTTGTCCGATCCAATTGGAGCCTGCGATGTTTGCTCCCTCTTTTTACAGCGCATCTGCTAAATGACACTTTTTCCAGCTCTGAAATTTTGGCCATGCGAGCTCGGGTCAGCACTTCACTGGGCAGCTGCACCACCGTTCCTTTGTGATATGTCATCAGAGGCTTTATCAAAAGGAGTCAATTCTGCTGGCTTTTGGGTGGGGATTGGGTTGCCACCAGTGCCAACACCAGCTGTGTCTAGCAAGTCATCATGTAGTACGGCACTAGCAATACTCTGAATCAGGGTGATCTACAGCGAGAAGCAAGCCGATAACAAGCTGATGACAACCACTTAAAAAACAACAAAAGATGACTAGCAAACAGACCGAGTTGCTGGTCTAACGAAGAAGCGGAAGTTGTCACATCTTCCGTGCTGAGGTCGATAGCTCCTCGGGGTGTTGCCGGGGTGTCTGCCACAGTTGGGATCCCTCTCTGCGCCGTTGGACTACGCTCGTGGGGCACGCTGTTTCTTAGCCCACGCATTTCAGTGCAAGGCTGATGCGTGACATGAAGCCGAGCTGCGCTGGACCAGCGCAGATCGACGGGTCTTCTTCTTGACAGCTGATCCCTGCGATTCTGACCTCATTTTGAGGGAAGGGTCGCGATGCTGCAGCTCTTCAAAGCTTGCACATATCAACAACCTTGCCTCAGCCTATATTCTGCTGTTACCGGTAATTGGCCAGGTTGCTGCTGGAATGTCTCTCCATCACACCTCAGGCACTCAACAAAAGCGACGCTCATGCAAAGAAAACTCAGCCAGTCACCTAAATAGAGCGGCGAACAAAACCCCTTCCGTAAACGACCCAGTCTAAGAATGCCTGATTACCCAACATGCTGAGCTCCTGCAACCACAACTAGCTTCACATGATTGCTGATTGGTGCTGGGAAACAACTTCTTCCAGGATGAGAGCGCCTCATCCTCCCAAAAACCGGCACCCTTGCTTGCATTGCCCTGCAGGAGATCGTTCGTAGTCTTCGAAAGTGCCAGCTGCTGACAGAAAAGCTGGCCCAATTGCTCCACCCTGTGCTTTACTCGGCGGATCTCCACCGCTTCAGGTTTGTGCTGGTCCAGCCTATCACAAAGGCTGTGAGAAATGTCTTGCAGCTCGCTCCATGCTTGCTGCTGCGAACTTAAAAGACTCTCCTGGACGGTGCTCATGGACATGGACTGTTTCGAATGCTCCTCCAGTAAAGCATCCAGCTTGTCCAGGCAAGGATTGGCCTGATGGCCAACATCCTGGCTGCTACTTGTAGAATCCGGCCCAGCCCCCGGCTCACGAATCATGTCCACTGAAGTGCTGATGCTGGAGCATAGCAGGCCTAGCTGCTCCACCTTGAACTTGAGGGACTTCATGTCCTCCATGGCCGGCTTTTGAGCTTCCACAGTGTCTGCCATCTTCTGCAGCATATCGCGCAAACTCGCATCCAGATCATGCACAGTTGTTGCGGTCGTTTCCTCCGACCCTTGATCTGGTTTGATTTGCTGGCCCGACGGCTTCTGCTTGATCCTCAGCTCCTGCACGTCCGCTCTTCGGTCGCTCAGGAGATCGAAGATCTTTCCTAGGTTGCTGTTGATAGTTGTTAGCGCTTGCTCGTGCAAAAATAGGAGGCCCAGCTCGGGCGAAACCTTCGCCTCGTCTGCAGAATCATCCATGGCCACGTCCGGCTTCGGACTTTCCAAGAGCTTCTCCTGCTGTTCCAGCACGGTGTTCATGCTGACTGACAGCTTTGCCAGCTCCTCGAACACTGTCTGCAGCTCACAGGAAGGATTGGCATCCTGGCTGCATTTGTGGCTTATAATCTCCAAGAGCACTCCAAGCCTTTGTGAGAGCTTGGCCTGCTGGGCAGAGAGCAGATCAAGCTCCTGCAGCACGGGCGCTTTCTCTGCCCTGCAGTCCTCTAAAACATAGGTAATGCTCTGATCTATGCTCTGCAATGATGCTTCGAATGCGTCGCGCGTTCCTATGGCAAACGCCTTCGTGTCGCTTTGCATGCTTTCGACATCCAGAACTCTCTTGTGCACGTTCTGGATGCCAGACTGTAGCTGCCCAAGCATGCTGGTCACACCATCGAACTTCTGGGCTGCTTGCGCTTGCTGCACTTCGCTCTGGGAAAAGTCGGCCAGCTTCTCCACTGAACTGTTTATGCAGCTCAGAACTGGCATGACCAAGTCCTTGAGTGCGGCAGCTTCCTGGCTGAGCTTCAGCTGCACTCCTTACAGAGTTTGCAACAAGATGCCAAACACTAGCAGCATCCCAAATTTCACCAAGATTCCCAGCTGGATGTCTTGTCTCGCAAGTGCTTCCCGCACGTCCTCTGCAGCAAGCTTGGGAGCCAAGACATCTGCACACATAATCTGAATCACACGGGCCTCCAGCAGCGCTGGAACTTCTTCGCGGTGGGGGGCACCGTGAGCCCCTTCCTGCTTGTCTCGGTCCATCATTAGTGGTGTGAGCCTGAGACAGTCAGGCAGAAGTCTTGCACCTCAGGCAAAAAGCAGCTTGCAGTCCAGCGGCTCTGTCAAGTCAAAGTCAACGTTGTCAGGCTCGTTCACAGCTTGACGTTGCGCGCAGGCTGGTTGCGTCCACATAGGTTGCACAGAGCGTCGTGAAAGAAAGGAATCGGTCTCGGGATAGCGCTGCTGATGGGAAACCATGGCCGCGACGATGTAGGACACAAAAACGATGGACACCAGTCCCATCACAGTGGCCAGCACTGTTAAAAGGGGGTGGTTTGGTTGACTCCCCACCACTGGTCGTGCCAACAATACTGCAAAGCCATCCTGCAAAGCAGTTGCGTAGACCTGCTCCAGCTTCTGACTCTGCGTGATGGGTGGACGACCAAGCAGATACGCATTCGCCCCAAACCAAACGCAGGTGTAGAGGTGGCAGAGCAGGAGCAGCCAAAGCAGCATTTGCAATGGACCAGCGCTGCCTTTGGCCTGCATGCCATTCGGCATTTGCTCACGTTGAGCATCGCCAAATAGGCGGTGACAGCAGGCCATTCTAAGAATGGCAGCGCATGTAAATGGAAGGCCATCCAGCTGATAAAAGTACCCGGCAGCAACCAGGCATATCACGTCCAACCAGAATGCCCATGATAGCGCTACGCGGGTACAAACTTCACGTGCGCTTTTAGCTTCCATCATGGTTGTGGTGGCTGCGCCAATAGCAAATCGTGCTACTACTCCACATGCATAGATGCCGATCATTGTCCAGTCGACCGCGCGGGCCCAGCCTTACATGAAATGCAGCCTCCTCTAAGCTTAACGACAAAACTCATACAAAGTTGACAGCCAGGCGGCTGTTGCTGTGTACGGTAGCAGCTTCGCCAAAGCTTACTAGGAAGGGAATCGCGACGACATGTACCACCGCGATGATCTGCATACATTTGAATAAAAATGCATCGCAACAGCCGCCGAGGGCACAGGGGACTGTGCAGGTTGACTGCGGTGGCGGGTGGAACCTCAGCAGATCAACAGATTGATGCTTTGAGGCACTGCCACCCTTCACGCACTATGCTACTAGTAGGCACGCCTAGACACCTGGCTGCACCTTCCTCAAGGTCTAACCCAGATGTCTGACTGTCCGAACAGCTCCGTGATGAGTACAACATGATGGGCGTGCAACAGTGACGAATCGAAGGCGGAGGCCAAAGGCCAGTCTTGCCTTCTTGCTAAGTCACTACATCGTATAGAGCCAACCGCAAAGCCAGGAGAGATTGGGTCATGCCAGCAGCTTGGACACGGGGGCTGCACAAAGACAACGAATAAATCCGATGCCAGCAATGACACTTTTTCGCTCGGTGGCCGCGATGTTCGCATGCCGCGTGTCCATTAGGCACATCCCCAAGCTCCTCCAAAAACTGGTGTGCTTGAAAAGCATGTTGCAGTCTAGACGCCAGTTTTAGAGTTGCCGTGGCTCGACGCACTAGCTTAGGTCGCGGACGACAGTGTTTGTCACCGTGTCCTAATCGAGTGCGATGTACACTCAAGCTCGCAGAGATGTGTTGCGCTTCATACTTCATGACCAAGCGTTTGTAGGTTGTGTATGTGTCGAGTTTGTCTTGAAGACTTGTGCAGTGTGTCGCATTTGTCCCCATGGTTTTGGTCACACTGGTGGTAGCTTAATCGAAGCTGGGGTGCTTAATACCCTGATGAAGCTTTCAGCTTCTTCCTGTTCCAGATATCATCTGCATACATTTGTGCGCTCAAGCCTCTGCAGGACAAACAAAACACCAAGGAGGCCGCCTCAGATCCATCGGAAAGGAATGCCATCCAATGGTATTTTCCCTTGTTCCAGAATATCAAAGTAGAGCTTGCTGCAACAGTGGTCCAACTGACAACCTCCAAGAGACATCTTCATCTTCTTCTTCATCTTCATCTGTCATCATCACCATCATCATCATCATCACTGACCTTCATGGTCAGGAGTCTCGTCGTCATCACCATTCAGCACCACAAGCTGGGTGCGACCTTCGACTAGTGCGGCAAGTACTGAAAACTTGCAACATGTGGCTTGGTCAAAACGATGGACCTGGAATGCTCTTGGAAAAGCCTCCTGGGAATGAATCTCACAAACCTGCAGCGCATCCATGCGTTAGAGAAGACGTCATCAATATGGCATAGCGGATGGCTGCCCACTCTGATGTGGTGAAATACTTGAGCAAGCTTGGAAAAGGCTGAGTAGGCTGTCTGCTTCGTGAGACACACTGATCTGGGCTATGTGACAAAAAACATGGCAGGCCGAAACAGATCCAAGAGGTTGGCATGCGAATTTGCTGAGAAAATGCAAAATTCTTGCGTCATCTGACTCTGCACTCTGACGGATCTGCCGACCCTCGCAAAGGCACTCCTTCTGAGGCCTCTGGGTGTGGGAGGAGTGCGTTTGGCTAAGATCTCGCAAGCCGGATTCATGCCCCCAAACTGTGGAACTGACTCAGTCGTCCAGTTGCAGCAGGCAGGCAACACCGCGTTTCGTCCAGTACTTCTCCGTATGCTGCTTCGTAATCCTCAAAGGTTATGGACAAGCAAATTTCACGGAAAGCTGGCGAGCAGGATGCGATGCCACACTGCAGCCCAGATTCGGGAGCAAGAGTGTCATCACGAAGTTGGTACTGTGACCAGTGGTGGTGAGTGTGCCCTTACGACCGGACCTGGGAAGTGGTTTAAGGCATATTGAAGGCATGCAGCTAAACATGTCCTGCACCTGAAAGAGCCTTGAGCAGCTAGGTCTCCCACGTCTTGTAGAGCGGTGACGGATACACTGTTCGACGGTCCGTAGGGTCCTTTCACGTGTTCGGCACATGTTGTGATGCCACGCCAACAGTTGACCAGCGGCCTTGGAGGTCTCGCATGGTGTCAGGTGAAGCGTGGGTAAAGCGCCTGAGAGGAGCCGCGGTCAAGCTGCTGATAGATAGCATCCAAAAGCAAAATCCGTGTAGACCAGTCTCCCTGTCAACCGGGAAATCTTTGAAATCTGGATCTCATACATCCAAGTTCGGTGGATCCGGATGAAGATCACGAATTGGCAACATAAGGCCAGGGATGGGATGGGCATTGGCTGGGAATTCACGACGGTCTAAGATCGAACAGCGAATCTGCACGAGCACGAAGCCTTTTCGGGCTAGCAGACGCTGCATCATCCTATCATGTAATCATGTACGAGAGCGGTATAAGTGTATAGCAATAACACCAGTGGCTGTGTACGGACGCTGCCCCAGGTACAAATGTGAAGGTAAACCTACGGCTAGAAACGCACAACACCCTTGTAGCAATGCGCTGTGCAAAGCAGTCGCAGCTTTACTCTGAACAGTTTGCCTGGGGTACATGTCATGTCAAGTATTGTAAAGCATCACCTTGCCCAACAGTGAACCCTCCAACCCGCCATGGCGCTGAACAAGACTTTCGGAAAACTCTCCGCCATGACGCTGTCATTGTCATCCCAACCTCAGTGCGTAACCAACGGCCAACTCTATGGCCATGATTGCGGCTAGGGTCCTACACCAGAACTACGCCGCGGAGCGTGCACCATCCATGAACAGGCCATAGGCTAAGCACCCTGTACCTGGACGACTCTGCTCCGCTGACATCTTTAGCACCTTGAAGTTCCAAATCAACCTTGGAAGCAATCACACAAACTGCAAGAATGAAAGATGCAAGCCACAATTGCTACGCTGGGCCTGGATCGAACGTGGGTCCGCTTGGTCTGCATTAAGACGGATACGTAAAAACATGGTAATCATGATACTAGCTATATCAGCAGCGGTCATAACAACGCAAGGATATGAACGAACACGTTTGCACTTCAAAAAGCCCCTGGATCTTCATGTCCAAAAATTGTTGCCACTGGCCTGAAACCGTAGATGCGTGTACTTCGGGTTCTCAAACCATGGGTCCCTTCTGCCGGGCCATGAACTGAGCCCTAGATAACAATTTCCATGCACATACTTTGGGGGCCCTGATATTGAGACCAGTTGAGAGCTGCATCAGTTTGAAGCAATACTGGAGCTAAGGCGCGTGTCGATGGGCAGCTTCAGGGTTCTAGCGTAGTTCTGCAGCTGGCCCGTAAGGAACGACTGGGTGAAGTAGAAGCCTGCAGACTTGCAATCCCTTCCCCTTTCAAACGAACCCCTACTCCTCTTATGAGAAGCATGTGTTCCACAGCGCGAAAATCATACCGCGTCTCAGCATCAGGGAGATGCAGGTTTCGTCGTTGAGGGAAGGGCCAAGAGATTGAGAGGAACTGCGTACACTGGGCTGGTGACGTGTCTGCTAATCTGCTACTCCCTGCTCCTGCCTGACAACCAGAAGGCTTCTGGGATGCCGTCATCAATCCATTTCTGGAAGAACTCAATTCCTGAGTCATGCTTTGCCATTGAAAAGCCATGAACAAAGCCTCTAAACCTGCAAGACTCCTACAACCAACCTTGGCCAGGTGTAGACAGAAATGCTGACAGGGCGCTGGCGCAGAGATCTGCAACATACGACACAAGAGGCTTCAGGGAGGGATAAGATACTTCGATCCAGACCTTGGAAGCCAGGACAAAGTGAAAGCTGTTGGGCTCATGTGCAAGCAGAGCTTTTGTCTGAAGAGCTGAGGGTGTGCGGTCGGTCAGGATACCGTCGGCAACCATCTCGAGCTCGGCGCTCATCACCACTAGACCTGAGCTCTGGGATTAGGTCACTGGGGAAAAAAATGCGCTTTTAGAGACTTTGCAACCTGATCATGGCCAAGCTTTTGCATGGCAAGGTGCCCTTTACAGCTTTCTTTACATCGGCAAGAGTACCTTGGTGTTCGCCAAAAGCGCGGGCGAACTGGCGAAATTGATGAGGCCAACTTGCCAAGCACTAATCTAATGTCCCAGGAAAAAACCTGCAGCTCAGTTGCTTCGAACCTTTGCAATCAGTTTGTTGAAGCGTAGCAGCTCCTGCGTGGTGAATTGGATTCTAGCTCGGAATCACCAAGCGCAACGCAGCTTCTGCAACCAGGTAGCTTGGTTAAGGACTGTATTCATGGACTCGTTGTAGTCCACGGGGTACTTGGCATTGGAGGCCTGCGGGACAGGAACGTCCGGGCATTGTTCTTCCTTTACCGCATCCGTGTAATCGCTTCCCGCTACTATTAAACCCTCCAATGAAAAATGCGGGTTCTCCAGCACTTCAAATTCTGAAATCTGCCCCCAAGACTACTTTTGAATACAGCAAGACTAAAACTAATTACGGCTCGGATCCTCTGAATTAGTGGGGTCCCTAGCATCTCGCTTAACGATTAGGGACCCCCTTGACTTCCTCGATGTTGATTGTTTTTGCATGGGTGTTATAAAGGAGAACAAATAAAATCTGAATGCAATTCTAATTGGGTTTAGTGCGATTTTACATCGTTGTTCAATTATGATGTTGATTAGACTTCAATTGATTTTAATCAGGTTGCAACTGCCTGTGAATTAGGTTTGACTACGTTTTTAAATTGATTCAAGACTGGGCTCATTTGATTGATAAGATGTAAATTGCTGTTAACTTGATTTTACTTGCGATGTTATTTTGATTTTATACCGGATTTATTGCAGTGTCCATTAGATTTATGCGGCGCGTTATTCGATTTAACCAATTGTAATTGGATTTCAATAGGATCCTCTTACTTTCCCTCCCTAATGTTCGGGTCGTACGATAAACACCCCCCTCCCCGAATATGAAATACGGGTCGGAGTACATACGTTGGAGGGCGGAGCCCTTTAGCTCTATGAGGAAGGGATTAGAATTGAAGATGAAAACTGTAGAACCCTCTGCCACCTCTGTGTCAAAGGGCGGTTGCACCTCCTCAAGGTATTTCGTCGCAGCCTGGACAGGGGAGGTCGCTACTCGCTATTCCTCTGATGGCCAGCATGTTCTGCTGCGACACGCCTCCAGTACAATGTCATCCTGCGAAGCACCCCCACCACCTGGTACAAAAGATAAAAACCTTGCATGCAAACGATTTATCTGCTTCATGAATATAACTATCTGCCTCGGAGCAGTAGCAGGCAAAACGGCCAGCCTCCTCCTGTCTTGGGCTGAAGGCTAGCTGCTGTGCCCAGAAGGCGCATGGCCTCAAGTGCTCAACTTCAGCAAAGCAAAAACATGCAAAGGATAACGTGGATAACGAGCAATCGCACTTCTCAAGCCTCGCTGATGGCTGCAACAAGGTTGGCATTGGCATGCAGACCAAAGGCCTACAAGAATTTGTCATGATCGGCCTACATCGGTCAGATTGCCCCATGCAAGTGAACAGGCGGTAAACCCTTAAATCCCAAAGCATCGCCTATGTAGCCTATTGGGAATGTGCAAGACAACTCGTTGGTTTAATATTGTCCTCCGGCATCTGGTTGATGGGCAAGCTGCGGATGTACCTGGCCCAAAGCCCTTTACCATAAAGTTCAGAAAATGGAAGCGGGCCTTAAGAGTTTCGGGGTTGGGTTACAGACCCTCACAGCCTACAAGCCTTACTGCTGGCTGCCATGTGGGCGCTGCCATGTGGGCGCTGCCAAAATCATGGCCAAGCTAGTCTACAGTCTCGCAAGACCCACGCAAACATCCAAAATTGTGCATAGTACACAAGGCCCTTGCTGCGTCAAACATGTTCTCATGAACTACCTTGTAGCAAAATGTAAGAATCACTTCTTTACGGCGGATGGAGGAATCTTGCACTTTGTTAGGATCAGATACCATAGCTCCTTGTGCAAAAGTCTCCGTTCACAGTAGGAAGCCTTGAAGCAAACCCTTCACTCCCCCTTCAACCACGTCCGAGCAACTCGATGTACGGCTCGAGGCTTGCAGAGTAAGCCGGCGCGTAGTAGACCCCCGAAGGCTGGCCAATTGCGGAATGCAAATCGCACAGAGCTTCTCAAGAGAGTTGCAAAGTGCGATCCCATGAGTGAACCACAGGGCAACGCATCAAAAAGTCGGGGGAACGGAGAACTTGTACTCATCCTTGAGAATTTCTGGGCAATAGAAGTCCGTGAGGAGGAAGTTGATGCAGCGGCCTTACTCAGCTTGCTGGCCAAAAGGAGCTATGCAAGCGCGTGCCGGCGCAGACTCAGCGCGCTGCGGTCATGAACATCAGTCACACGGCCGCCATAGTTTGCCTGAACAGAACTGTTGAGCTGCCATGCCTATTGCTGGCTAGCACTGGGGAACGTAATGCGGAGAGCTTCTGGCATGGTGGCGGTGGCGACGAACCCTCAAATCACCCTGTTTAGTGAATTCTGCAACTACACTGCAGCGTAAGGGTTTCTACCCGGCAGAAGGCTCCATCATGCAGCCTTCTTGCAGCATCCCATTTCAAGACCTCTTCTTCTGGGCTTTGACATTCAAAGGAATCTAAACCAAAAGGTTTCACAGGCCAAAAGGTGAGCGCTTAGCCTCTGCTGCAGTGTACCGCAGCGCAGCGTAGGGAACCGCATCATTCTCTTCCAGAAACATCCTCACAAACGGGCGGCGGCCCAAGAGATGATCAGAGAATACGTCTCCATGCTTCAATCTTCGAGGAGCACATGGGGGCCCACAGAGCCTGGCAAGTTCACTGGAAAGCCGATGCTACAAACATCCCAGCTCCTGAGCTGCATCATGCAGATCTGCCGGTCAGGTTCTGAAAACTGGTACCTGGAGCAAAGGGGCATCCAGCGTTAACGTTAAGCAGGCAAGGGCAAAGGAACACAGAGAGTGGCAGTAACATCATGTCCGACACTTGTGTGACTCAGCATCGTCCCGTTACCAGGGGTACTTTCACTTGGCAATGACAAGTCTGTGGATAAAGGTGAAGGGACCTAGTCCATCTTGTGAGGCTCAGGGGGAGCCAAAGAATTGAAATTTACAACGAAGCATGTACTGAACACTTAAAGAAGAAAATTCAATAGCAACAAGCATGATAACAGTACGGCTTCAGTATTCAAAGTCAAAGCAGCAACGCTGGCTGAAGCAAGGCAATCTCAGCTCACTTACAATCCCAATGCTAGATGCATGGGAGTTGCGCAGTGTAAGTCAGCACAACTTGCAGCGGGTGCGATTTTGTAAAGCATGCCAGCACCACGGGATGTTCCAGCCCAAAGGTCCATATGTGCACCGCTCCTGGACAAGGCAATTGAGTGGACAGCAGCCTTGCAAAACATCTGCTAAGTTCGTCCGGGCTCAGGGTCCTGAATAAGCGCGTGGAAGAAGCAAAGGCCGAAGAGCATCTTCCTGGGAGGATGTTGATGGTAAGCCACCACAAGACAGGGTCCGTCCAACAAACGATCCTTGCTACCAACTACTCTTCTGCACCGCACACACAAACTGATGCTGCAGTCCTAAAGGTTTGCTTGCACTCAGTGCTCTTTGTGCACGCCTCTGCAAACCTTAGACAAGAGCCAGGGCTGCTGCGAGCAAGGTACTTTTTGAAGTCGCTACGATGTACGTACACGCACGCTGAGCATGCTGCCAGTCCGGATCAATGGAAGAAAATGCCCGCAGCAAGTTTGATTTCAGGCCTTCCAAGGCAAGTCAAATGACGCGAGGATCTAGGATTTTTTTCGCTGCCTGTGTCAGTTTTTTAGTGAAGAATTCAGAAACCACTTCGACTATGTAGCGGCCAACCATGCTACCTGCTCTCTCAAACTTCAACCTGACACTTCAGAATGCAGAGCGCCCTCTTGGGCAAGCCTTTTGGTGGCTCGATGGTCATCTTCATGCCGTTTTGCAGTACGGATATAGGAAACTCCGAAGACGGCATCGATGTCCTGACTGTCTGCCGGTCTCTGAGATGCTTGGCATGTTTGGTTTCAATGCTCAGAACACTTGTTGCAACCATCTGAAAAGACATAGCAAACAAGTGCAAAAGTGTTCAAGAAGCATAGAAGTACCTCTGCAGAGAAGCAAATCAATACACATGGAGTACGCGTGGAAAAATCCGCCCAAGTGATCAGAGCAAGCTGAGGCCCCAGCAGCCACAGGCGAAACTGCTCATTCACCTGGCAACCGATAGCTGTTTCCCAAAATCAATGCCCGGCCTTCTTGCGGCAATCTCTAGGTCAGAATGTTGAAAAATGGATGAGCAGAGATCACGTTGAGAGTCCCATCACTCTAGCTGAAATGTTGCGCCCCGGGAGTTTAAAAGCGCCCTAGCTTTGATCGTGCGGACTGGCTATTCTGAAAGCTTGGGCGGGCCCCATTTTCTGCAATCTCATTGAACGTGCGCAAGGGCCCTGGTGTGTTTTCACAAATCAGGATGCGTCCCACAGCACCTTGTCTGGATTCAACTCCTCCACCATGACTTCCAGGGTTGCCATCCAGGATGGCGCCAAATGGCCTTATGGGTGGTTGTCAAAATCATCGTCCCTTTTTGGATCCCTATTATAATACGGCACCAAGTATTTAGGGTACCCAGAACGGGACCATAATTTTGACAACCATTCTTATGAAAGGGGGAGATTACTCCGTATTCCACGGAGGCTTTGAAGCTAAGGGCCCGGGGTTTAGAGGCCGCTTACAATCTGCAACAGCCATTAGGTGGCATGCCTTGGGACAGCAAGGACCATGCAAACTCAAGAACCGGTACTTCTGTAATTCTCAACATCATGGCCGTTCCATGTTGTACTGCACTACTTGCCCTGACCATATACAAACCAGGCACAAACCAAATACAATCATTATTCATGACGATGACCTTTATTATAACCATATATAACCCCGATATGCTATAGTAGTTTCCATTTTCTTTTCTATCATCCCTATCTACCCACAACCACCGAGGCTTTCAAAATCATCAAAGCCTTCAGGTGCCGCGATGCTCAGCCAAGGAGTTCTCCACCAACCGACAGCATAATTCTCGAAACAGGGTCCCGCTTCCACAACCCAAAAAACTCCAACTCTCCTCCTAAGACCCCAGAAACAGCCCCAATGGGCGTGGCCATGAGTTTTAAGACCTCCTCAACTGCTGGGATCCAGGCAGTTCTGTAGGATGACCCAAAGGCCACCTTCAATACCATCTGTGATGGCTCTTCCAGCCTTGTTCATGTCGAGCGCGCTTGTAAGGGGTTCTGTAGTCTGCTCTCGTTCACTATTTCCGATAGCGTCATTGCATAACCTGCAAAATTCTGAGACCTCCATGCTCGATAGAATTTTGGAAGCAAAACATGCCAGATCAACAACCTGGCAACTACCTGGTAGCTACCTGGTGAGTTGTGGCAGTGGCCTGTTGCAGACAAGGTTTAGGATTGGAGGTAAAGCACAGCGGTTCTCAGCAACATGGGCCCGTTTTCTGGGGTCTTTAGGAAGGACCTTGGGAGGGGGGGGGGAGGAGGGAGG